GGCCTGGCACTAGGTGGGGGTCCCGGGGGGCTTCCACCTTCTTTTTGTATGTGTGGGGAAGTCCACGGCAGTGTGCCGTCTCCTGTACTACCCGGTCCCCTAAAGTGGACTGACGGCCTTGATTGACAGCAGCCGAGACTGAAAATTCCAGATTTTGTACCACTTGGAAGGATGAGTAATAGGTCTAGAGTTTCTGAGAAGCCCTTCAGTGTAGTGACAAGTGCAGAGTAATAACCTAATTGCTTTCTGTCCGAAAAATACAGCAGTCAAACCACTAGTTCGTGCTTGTTTAGTTAATGTGTTCCTAGCGCTTGGAAGGTGTGTCCTTAATGGTAGATGGCCTCTTTCCTTCTGAGAAGTCATGTTTATTCTAGATACTGTTTGGTTCGGGGTTCTGGAGGCCAGTGGTGTTCTTGCGGGTGGTGGTGGTGGTTTTTAATCCTACTGTTTTAGAGGAAGTCCTTCTCCTCCCCAACGCTGCCTGTTTTAATCTGTTATGTAAGTATTACTTTCAAGAGGCAGTGACTTGGATTAAAAGTTCAGTCGTCGATAGTTAGGAGACAGGTTTATAATTCATTTGAAGAGTTGGAATAGTGTTAATAACCTGGTGGCCTGGAATCTTCCGTGGTGTGTAAGGAGGAAGGCTAGTCCGGAGACTTGTATGCATATTTGAATACAGGAGGAAGTAGAAGGAAAGATTATAACTTACTGGCAAAGGACAAAGACTTCTTTGGTGTCCAGCTTCTTTTAAGCCTTTTATCTCCACAGCACCTTCCCACTACTTTGCAGTTTGAACTTTGTTGTTTTTTGATTACCCGTGAGATCGAAGTTTGGCAGTTGTCTTGGGTTCATATTATTCCGTTTCACTTCTTACCTAAAAAAAGGAACCAAGATGCCATTAGAAAAATGAGCAGAACAGTTTTCCCCCTTTACCCTGAAGAATCTGTTTTGCTAATAGCTCAGTTCTTTTTCTTTTTTTCTTTTTTCAAGATGGTTAGGGAGGAAGGGGGGGAGTGAAAGTTTCTGCTCTGGCTGCCTTTCTTGAAGGTGGGGAAGATTTGCATTCTCTTTGTGAGCCTCCATTTTTGGCAGTAAAACCCAAGGGAGGAACCGGAGCCCCTAATCCCTTTCCAGTGGCCTTGTTTTGGAGGAAATCTGAAAATAAGACTTAATCATCAAGTCACTTATAAACCGATGAAATCGTTAGGGAATACAATGGGCTGGCCATGACTAAGTCTGTCTTCTTCTCGTTGCAGATGAATGCTAAGTAGTTTTTTCCCCTTTAAGAACCTTTATTATGAAATGGTATGTTTTTGCCACAGCAGGGTTGCCATTTCCCAAGCCTGGAGCACTCTTAATTCGGAGATGCTTGATTAGAGCCTCGGGGGTCCCAGAAGATGTGCTGCTTTTCCACTTTATCAAATTACATTCTTTTCTCACCGTTGTCACCAACATGATACTAGTTGATAAGAACTTCGAGTAGTTTCAATGACCCTTGACTGCTTAAAACGTACTACTTGGAAAAGGATCTTTTATGTGCCTACTTGAATATAAATGATACAGATTTTTAAATGTTTTCTATGAAGCTATTTCCATTGGCTCAAAAAAAAAAATTTGAGTTTCGGTTGCTCTTCTCAGGTATGCTGGTGTGGCCCCTAGAGTGGATTTTGAGGTCCCTGAGTATGCAAATGGCTCATCCTAGCTTCCTGTATCAGTTTAATCCCCAGCAAGTGTGTTTAATAAATGAGTTGGAAAGGTTACTCTGAAGTACTGAGCAGTGGCCGTGTGTTTGCACCTTGTAGAAGTGTAAGTGATCCTAAAAGAATGAGATGGTTGTGTGAAATCTGTGAGTCTTCCAAGAGGAAGATAAGCATGATGAGCTTTTAAAGTAAGTTACAGTTGAAACCTGTAGAGTAGTTTTTAGAATAAGTATTTAAAAAAAAACTTGGAAAGTGTCTATAGAGCAAATAATACTAAAGTTGAATAAAAATACTGTCATTAAATACTCCAAACGGTGAAGGGCTTAGTTCCAGCAGGTGGTAAATTAAACCTGTGAGAATGTGGATGGCTTCCTTTACACGCCTCATGTCCACATTTTGGGTGGAGAGGTGTTAACTAGTGTAAGTGCATGTGGAAGGGAGTGTTATTACACAAAGGCAGCAGGAAATTTCTTAAATTTGGGTGAGGGAGCCTGATTATTGAGTGTGGCTTTAATGGCCTCATTTTGGGGACAAGAGAGCAACTTTAGTGAAATGCTGACATTTCAGAGTAAAGTGGTCTTGGATTACTGCTCTCCAGCCGGTAGTATAGTTGGACAAATTTGCAGTGGTATGTGGGGCAAAGGTTTTTGAATTCAGACCACGAGGGCAGATAGAAATCTGTCTTTTAAGGAAGTGGGCCATTCTTTCCTAAAATCTAGCTCATGATGAGCAAGCTCAATTCTTGTACACATCCATCTTCCAAATAAATAAGGGGGAAGCCCCAGTGAGCCAGCCCTGCCGGATTAGCCTTTGCGTTTAACATGGACTCTGAGAGGACTTCACGTTTGAGCATTTGTTGACCGACTGTTCTAAACATCCCCATTACTTCCTGCTCAGGGTATCAGCATAACAGAGTTACTGGAAATTTGGGGCCAGTTTGGTAATTTTATGATAAGATTGAGAAATAAAATTACTAAACCTGAAAAGACAGCTAAGCTGTGTGAGACAACGATCCCCTTAGCTTTTGTTCTTAAACTTTTCCAGGATTTGACCAGCTGTGTCCTGAAGTCCAGGCTGGTTTTTAAAATGGGTTTGTGTAGAAGTTTTGTTTTGGTGTTTGTTTCTAGTATCCAAATCTTTCACATTTAAGTTATAGTTAAACAGACTGGAAATACGGACTCCAGATAGGTTTTATTCTTGAATCAGTATTAGGAGAAATACTTGCTTTTACTTTATTTTTTTAATCTTACATGCCTGTATCAAATCAGAGTAAGTTAAAAAATTTAGCTGTAGTAGTAGTTTCTTTTCTCTTCAGTTTAACACATCTCTTGAATAGGAATTGAGTTATTAATTGAAAGGAGATTTTTTTTTTCTTAATTTGGAAAGTAAGCAGGAAACTTGGAAGAGCCAGACATAACAATTTCAGCACTCAACAAAAGGCAGGGAGGGGAGCATGTAAAGGTTGAAGAAAGATGTCAGGCCTTAAAGCACCGCGGAAGCTTGTATTTAACATGGAGTTGGTTAAATGGGGTCTAATTTAGACGCTCAGCTTTCGGTCTTCTGAAAAAAAAAAAAAAAATGGGGTAATGTGTAGTGTGTGGTACAGTGTAATGGCCATGGTTATTAGTGAGTCTACATAGGGTAACGTGTGTGAACACACATGCACAGAAACACGCATGTTCAGTGTAGAATTAAAGAACACAGGTAGACTAGTTTGTTTCTTAATTTGCTGAAATACAAGCCCCCTCATTAGTCCTGTCATACCTTTTAAAAATACTGCAGCTTATGTTGGTAAAGTAGACTAGACACTTACTGGTAGTGATGCCTGATTGTAAGAATTTAAAAATGTTTTTTCCCTTAGACCTCTCATTGTTCAGATCAAGATGGAGTTTTTGAAGGCCAGTTTATAGACGGTATCTGTTAGTATTGATAATATTGAAACTAAAAGTACTATCTGGTATTTGAAGTTTTTGTTAAGATCCTTCAGCAGACCTCAACTGCTTCAGGGCACGTCAGGCAGTTTCTAATTATGGTGCTCAATGTCACTTTGGTCTCTCATCCAATTTAGAACTGAATGTTTGTGTGTAATTTTGAGAAAATGGAATTATTTCCTGTAGGATCGTCCCCAGTTTGGCTTTAAACAGAGTTATGGTTTGGGATGTAAAGCTGAATTTAAACTTTGAATATTTCAGTCTTTTAATTTGTAAGCATCTTTCCACAGTGATATTAGGACAATTGGGTCGATTGTTTAACTTTTGGACATGACTCGGTGATTTTTCTTGAAATAGTTGTGAAGGGTTTAAAGTTAGATTGCTCCCATGGACTACTTGGGGGCATTCTCTCCGCGTGTAGGGTTGAGGATAAGTAGCATGTGTGAAACACACGAGAACCCGAAATGCTTCCCATTTCCTGACCAGAGCTTGGAGGTAATTTGATAGTTTTTGTTTTTTTTTTTTTTTTGGTTTTTGGTTTTTCTCCGGTACCAGGAACCGAACTCACGACCTTGCGCTTGCCAGGCAGGCGCTTTGCCGCTGAGCTAAATCCCCAGCCCCGGTAATTTGATAGTTTTAAGGCAGTAAATGAATTGACTATAGAGGGTAGCAGTGTATGTTGAGTATTTTAATGACTTATTTGTACACTTTAAGTTGAGAAAAAGTAAATTTGTAGGAGCCCTGCAAATTACTCGTATATTACAATTTTTACCCTTTTTGACAGTTTTTTTTTTTATTTTTTAAATTTTTTTTGAGGACTTGGCATAGTAGTCTATACTGTGTAGACAAGTCCTCCCCAGGAAAATGTGAAGAAACCTGTGAAGGTGAAACAGGTGCTGTCTAAAGGTGCTGTTTCTGAAAATTATTTCCAAGTGAGGGTGACTGACTATCAGTAACAGGCAGTTGCCCCTCATTTGCTTTACTGCTATATAAATTTTGCTTTTCATTAAGCACTGTATGATGTGTAATATTTGCTAATTTTAAGACCTATAGATAGTGGTAGAATTCATAGTTTAGTCATGAATCTAATTAGTGACTTAAAACAATATCTGACGTTTCAGGCAGTTACAGCAATTTGGTTCTTGCTGATTGATCTCTGAGATGATGTGGTACTATTTTGAGCAAGTGACTGCGTAGGTAATCCCAGTGTCCCTTCAGAGGCCAAGGGAGTGTTGAGGAACTGCTCGCTTCAGATGCCTTGAGTACAGTGAAGGTGAAGCACTGTCTTACCCAAGCAAAGATTTTATTTTATTTTATTTTTCCCGTACCGGGAATCGAATTCACGACCTTGCACTTGCCAGGCAGGCGCTGTACTGCTGAGCTAAATCCCCAGCCCTCCGCAAGCAAAGATTTTAAAATGATTGTAAACTATTTTTGCAGGTACCTTTTAGTAAGCCTAGTGCAGTCAGAAAAACACACCTCTTCCGGCCAGTGCACAGCATTTGGCTTGTAATGTTGGGTTATAATGCCTTCCTCTCCCCCTCCTGCACGGTCGAGAAGCACCGTTCTCTTAGCAGCAGCACCGTCGTAGCTGGTGGCTCCTCAGATCCCTCCCTGAGGGGCTCTGGCAAGGCTGAGCGCCACCCTCAGCGAGCTGGAGAGGCTGCTTGTTGTCAGGTTGGAATTACGTAGAATTTCTGTTCTGGTGGGTTCTGGTAGTAGTTCGGCTTTTGTTACTGCAACCACTTTAGAGGTTTTTGTTCAAAGGATTGTAACTTGGTTCTAAGTGCTTTGTAGCCCCTTCTTGAGCGTCCTGTCCTTGAGTGCAGGGAAGGACTTAGGTGGCCTCCGAGTCCACAGCTGAGGGCAGGGAGGTCTGTCAGGGAAGTGGTGTGCAGCTGCCCACCGAGGAGGGTGTGGAGCCTCCCGATGCAGTTCTGTTTCTGTGGTGCTCGGGGGAGCGAGAGTCCAGGGTCTCACTGTACAGCAGAGGGAGCTCCAGCCGCAGCGGGATGCAGTTTTGTTTGTGCTGGTGAACTTTATAGTGTGATTAAGGGATTCCTTATTACAGCCGTGAGGTGCAGACGGTAATTCGATGGCAGGCACAGCCGTGTAGAGCTTTGATGAACACTCACGTTAGTGTTAGCATCAGATCAGTTAGCCTGGGCACTGGGGTCAGAGACGTTCACCTGCCTTTCTCCCTGTGCTGGTTCTTACTTACCAGGTGTTTTCCAGCCTAACCCTGGGGACACTTTATTTCCTAACAGGATTGTTTGTTCTGGGGTTTTTTTTGAGACAAGATCTCACTGAGTAGTAGTGGGTATCATTGATTTGAGGCCCTTTCTACTAAAAAAATGACTTACTGGTGATGACAAATAGTTGTGAATCCAGGCTCGCCTCCAACTTGCAGTGATCCTCCTGCCTCAGCCTCCTCCCCAGTGCTTGGGAATACAGGTGTGTGCCCCTGCGCCCAGCTGCTCAGAAGATGGTTTTAGTTATGGACGAAAGTTTTAGAGGAACTGAGGTGTGGTAAAAAGCAACAGGGCAGGAATTGTGCTGCACCGTGGTCAGCGGTCAAGCCTTGGAGTTCAGTCCTAAGGTTTGTGCTGGCTCAAGGCCCCCCTGAGCTCTGCGTGGCGGTGCATTGCTGTTATCCTAGCACTTTCAGGGGAAGGCTGTCTGTCCATAGAAAAACAAGGGTTCCTGAAAGTTTTACAAATTCTTTTTCTTGTACTGGGGATTGAACCCAAGGCCTTGCACATGCCGGGCAGTTTTAAAGTTGAGCCCTGACATGGGGTTACTTTGCTTTTGCCAGGTAAGGATGCTAAATCATGTATTAGCTCTCAGCTGTGTGCCATTGTTTGTAGTAGAAAGGACCTCCAGGCATGCGCCTTGTTAGGAATTGCTGAAATGAGCGCGGATCCTCCTGGGTGTGTGCAGAGGCCGTCGCCTGCCTCTGTGTCTCATGGAGCTACTTGCCACTGTTGTCAGGGGGTAGTAACTACTTTTCTGGAATATGTGCCGTGATTCTTAGGTTGAAGTATTGCCAGGACATCCACACTCAGTAAATATTAGCTGGATGAGTAAATGACTCCTCAGAACCCTAAATGACCTGCCCTGTGTACACATACTTAACACGTTGGTCCACAGGGCCGTTGAGTGTTCTCTGGAGTGCATAGATCAGTCCCCAGAATCTTGAAGTTGGGGAACGCCAAGAGCCATTGCAGAGCTTCCCCGAGGACAGTGGGCAGATGCAGAGAAATGAGGTGCGAGGCCAGGCCGGCAGCTTGCAGGCTGTGATCCCGTCTGACCAGAAGCCAGGTCTCTCGCGCGGCCGTCCCTGCCTGTGTTCATTGGCCGCTGTGTGTCCCACCAAGGAGAGGCGCAGATTGAGAAGGAGAGGCGCAGATTGAGATGCAGCGGCGCAGGCTCCTTGCTCCGCCCCAGGGTTTAATCTGGAGTCTGAGTGGAGAAGCATGATGCTGAAACTGTTCTCACTGAAGACCGAAGATCACGAGGAGGGAGTAGCTTTCCCTCGGATTGTGAAGAAGGGGATGGGGACTGGGGCTTTTAGCTCAGTGGTACAGCACCTGCCTAGCAAGCATGAGGTCCTGAGTTCGGTTTCTGGTACCGGAAGGAAAAAAAAAAAAAAAAAAGGGGAGACTCCTGAGGCCACACAGGCCCTGGCTGGGCTGGGAGGAAGTGGAGGGAAGCAGGGTGTTCTCGCTGGTGTTCACATCCGTGTCCTGGGAGCGATTTGCATGTCTTCTGGTTTTCTTGGGTGGAATTAACTGACTCCAGCTTTTTTTTTGACACAGTGTCTCACTGTGTAGTTGAGGCTGATTTGGAATCACTTCGTAGCCTGGACTGGCCTTCAACTCACTGTGATCCTCCTGCCTCAGCCTCCCGCGTGCTGAGATTACAGGCATGCCCCATCATGCCCGGCTGATTCCAGTTTTGTCATAGTTGGGACGTTTTGAGAAGCTGTTCACTGCATGCAGTAAAAATGAAAGGTATTGGCTCTGGAGGCTAATTCTTCATGTCAGACTCGCAGAGATACATGAAGTAATCCCTTTCTACCCGGCCAACACGTAGTGTGAAAGGTGGACTTCAGAACACTCCAGGGTCCTTCTGGTGAGATGCTAAGCCGTGTTGGAACGACTGTGCTGAGAGCTGTACGATAAAGGTGCACATGCGCAGAGTGAGTGGCGTCGTGTGCACACGTGCTTATTCCTTGTGTGGACTGGGAACTCCTGTCCCTGCCTGGTGCTGTTAGGGTGGAAAGTTGTCAAATCACCCTGGGATCTGGACAGCAGATGGATGCCTAGAGGACCCAGCAAACCAAAATAATCGAAGTGTCTTTGACCAGAAGGGACGAGCATGCTGAGGGGTTTGCGTTTCTGGAGGAGGGTTTTAGGGAAGGACCCTGTTGTGTGCTTACTCTTGACCTCTGGGGCTGTGATCTCCGAGGACGTTCAGTTCTTTGTGGGCAGGTTTGTTACTGGAAACAGTTGTAAGCACAGGGAAGGTTTTACCTGAAGTGGCTTAATTTTGTCGTGTTACTTTCTCACAGCTCCTGCAGTCTCTGTGAAGCTATGTGTATGTGTATGTGTGTGTGTGGGGGGATATGTCTGTGTGTGTCTGCATTTTAGTGGTGTTTAAAGTGGATTCAGCTGAATTGAACAATTTTTATCTTACAATTTGACCTTTTAAGTGAATAAAGCACCATGTCCTACTGAATGACCTTTTTCTCACTAGAAGGTGTATGACTGGGGAAATGCTAATGATGTAATTAACAAAACACGTTTACCAGGATGCATTAGGAATTAAAGGTGAGGTGGTTGAATGAGGCACCTTTGCTGCGTGGAAAAGACCACGTGAATCATCCACGCTGGCCTGCTGTTCTGAGGGCGACTCGCTAATAAGCATTTACATTCTTTCCCTCAGGTTTTGGAAACCCCTTGTCTCCACATTGCTGGAACTGACTGACTTTGTTCAATTGAACCGCACACTCAGTGGAGACAGAGAGAACTAATGCTGTGTGCTGATTGATATTTGGATCACGGCATCGGGCAGTCTGTGCCTCATCTGTGGAAAGAACCAGTGACAGTCGCCCATCCATCCCTGTGTGTCCCAAGAGCTTCTGACGACAAGCAGTTAGAGGAATGTACACTTTCTTTTGAACGTCATAATAATATCTGCTCTGGTTCCAAAGCCTGGGGCTGCTGGAGGTGTGAGTGACAAGTCTCACAAGTGGCCTTATTCCAACCCCAGAAGTTCCCCAGCGGGCCGCGGCGTCTCCTGTGTGCGCGGCCCCACAGCGGCAGGAAACATGCCCACGCAGTCCCTGCTCGTGTACATGGACGGCCCGGAAGTGATCGGCGGCTCCCTGGGCGCCCAGGTGGAAGCGGATGATGCCTTGTCCATCAAAGGAGCTGCCGCCATTCCTTTCAGAGCTTCGCAGGAAAAGAACATACTCCATCTGGAAGGATACATGCCCTTGGATTGCATGTTTTGCAGCCAGACCTTCACTCTGGCCGAAGACCTTAACAAACATGTCTTACTGCAGCACCGGCCTACCCTCTGTGAGCCCGCAGTCCTGCGGGTCGAAGCAGAGTACCTCAGTCCACTTGACAAGTGTCAAGTGCGAGCGGAGCCGCCCAAGGACACGAGCTGCAAAGAAAGCGAGGAGTTCAGCTGTGAGGTCTGTGGGCAGACGTTCAGAGTCGCTTTCGACGTGGAGGTCCACATGAAGAAACACAAAGACTCTTTCACGTATGGGTGCAGCATGTGCGGGAGGAGGTTCAAGGAGCCGTGGTTCCTCAAGAACCACATGCGCACGCACAACGGCAAGGCGGGCTCCAAGAGCAGCAAGCTGCACCAGGGCCTCGAGGGCCCCGCCACCATCAACGAGGTGGTCCAGGCGCACTCGGCCGGGAGCGTCTCTTCTCCGTACAAGATCTGCATGGTTTGCGGCTTCCTGTTTCCAAATAAAGAGAGTCTGCTGGAGCACAGCAAGGTGCACGCCAGAGAGGCTGCTTCCGCCAGCCGCGGCCCGCAGAGCGGCGCCAGGCCGGAGGGCTCCCCCGCTCCCCGGGAGGAGCTGCTGCAGTTCTTAAACCTAAGACCCAGGGCTCACGCTGAGCCCGGCAGGACGCCCGCCAAGTGCGTACCTCAGCTCGATCCCTTCACCACCTACCAGGCGTGGCAGCTGGCCACCAAGGGGAAAGTGGCCATCGCCCAGGAGGAGGTCAAGGAGTGCGGGCAGGAAGGGAGCACGGACAATGACGACTCGTGCTCGGAGAAGGAGGAACTCGGGGAAATTTGGAACGGGAGCAAGTCGGAAGGTTCTGGAAAGTCCAGAACAAATAAAAGCAGCTATACAGGCCTCTCACAAGACAAAGAGAAGCCCAGACACGCCAGCGGCGAAGTGCCTTCGGGGGAGGCGGACCCCAAGTTGCCTGGCAGCAAGGAGAAGCCCACGCACTGCGCGGAGTGCAGCAAGGCCTTCCGGACCTATCACCAGCTCGTGCTGCACTCGCGCGTGCACAAGAAGGACCGGCGCGCCGGCGCGGATTCTCCCCCCGCAGCCGCGGACGGCAGGCAGCCGGGCACGTGCTCCCCGGACCCGGCCGCCATGCTGGACGACGGTGCGGCCAGGGACCGAGAGGGCGGCTCTGAGGACGGCTCTGAGGACGGGCTCCCCGAGGGGCTCCACTTGGGTGAGTGGCTTCGCTGCGGCCCAGACGGCCCTGGCACGGGGGGTGGGCCAAGTCCCAGCCCAGGCTGGGCGCGGTGCTTCCCTGTCCCTGTCCCCGTCCCCGTCCCTAGCCCCCCAAGTGCTCAGGCCCCGCTGAAGTGATGGGGTTGACTGCAGAGCCTGTCTGGGTTTCCGTTGTGTCTGCGAAGGACGCACACCTCTCTGTCTCTGCTCAGCCTTCTGTGGCGGCTTCCGCTCGGGGCAGCCTGGAGTTCGGCTGTGACAGCTGGGCTCCTGCACGTGTGTCGGCACCAGCGGAGGGTGGCTGGAGGGGCTGCCAGCCCCCCGCGTGCACAGGCCGCTCCTGTACCCAGGAGCCACTTGGCGCAGAACATTGCTAGGGTCCACACACAGCCCAGCCTTCACTTCCTTTCCTGGCCCCCTGATTCGATCCACGAGGCCAGTGTGCTCTGCTCTGTCCGGGCTGGCTTGTCTTTTTCTACCCACTGGGGCATTGAACCCAGGGCCTCATGCACGCTAGGCAAGTCAGTGCTCTACCATTGAGTGACACCCCCAGCACTTATTTTATTTTGAGACAGGATCTCAGGAAGTTACTAGGTTGGCCTTGAACTTGCAGTCCTCCTGCCTCAGCCTCCTCAGTGGCTGAGATTACAGGCGTGAGCCACTGCCTGGCTCAAGCCCACTTCCCGTACATTTTCTAGATGGATATTTGTCGTATTGGGCATTGAACCCAAGGCCTTTGCAGTGAGCTACGTCCTCAGCAACTCCCTGACCCGCTTTTTACTTGGAGATGTCTGGCTGAATTTCTCAGGCTGGGCTCAAATTTGTGATCCTCTTGCCTCAGCCTCCTAGAGTGCTCCATTATAGTCGTGTGCCACCATGCTGACTGAAAGGGAGGGATCTCTAGTCCTCACAAGATGCCAGGGGCAGGATTATCGGGAAGAGCCAGGTGTTGCTGCTGGGAGGACCATTCCGGTGTTTTCTGATCACCCCCCACTCTTTATAGCTGGGAGGTGCTGGTGTCCTTAACACGGACCTCAGAAGGGATTTGTCTGTGAAATACAGGGAAGTGAGCGCAGCAAAGATGGTTTCTTGAGATGCTCACTCAGGGGGACTGTGCTGTCCATTCATGGCTTTTGTAGGCTCAGAAGATAGTTTCGCTGAGAAACCGTCCTCTTCTTTCCCAGCGGGGAAGGGAATTACAGAAGTGTCCGTCTTGCTGTTCTAGTCCTGCGGAAAGCAGAGCACCTTCTATCCATTTACTGTTTTTTTTTTTTTTTTTCCTGGTACTAGGAATCGAACTCACAACCTTGCACTTGCCAGGCAGGCGCTGTGCTGCTGAACTAAATCCCTAGCCCCCTTACTTACTGTTCCTTTGAATAAAGGACTCTGCACACAAAGTCCTGGTGTGGCCAGGCCGGGGTGGCGCACGCCTGTAATCTCAGCCCTCAGGAGGCTGAGACAGCAGGATCACTGTGAGTTCAAGACCAGCCTGAGCTACAAAGTGAGCTCAAGGCCAGCCTGAACTGCATAGTGAGACGCTGTCTCAAAAAGACAAACAAAAAACCAAACCAATGCCCCCCCCAACAAAAAAAAAAACCCCCACACAAAAGTAAAGTCCTGGTGTGTAGGGCACATTGGGCCATGGCTCAGAGAACAGGGGCAGGTCTTGGAGGAGCATCACTTAGGCCAGTGGTCTTCGTCTGCTGGTCCTGTAACTTGCTGTGCTCGACACCTGGTAAGAACTCAGTGTGCCCCGGGAAGAGCTGGCGTCGCAGTGTAGTGGAGGCTTCACCTGCTCTGAAGTTAGTGACCGGTTATTTTCCAGTCACGTGACCAACATGCGTGCCCGTTTGTTGCCCACGGGGAGCCTATCCCTTAGCATGTGTGGAAACCTTCAGTTTCAGAACTCTGGAAAACGCGTTGGTGTCTTAACGATGTCACACGAGGGCTGCTCCTCTGCCCCAGGGACAGACTGCTTACCTGGCACATGCAGGTTCTGGGTTCAGTCTCCGGCACGAAGAAAGTGGCATCGTGCAGAGGCCTTACACACTCACGGTTCTCTTGTGGGCTGTGTGGCTCCTGCAGCGTCAGGCTGTCTGCCAGGAGACACGGTCGTCGGCAGGGAACCTTGGGCTCGGCTACCAGAGGGTGGCAGGACGGTTTCTCAGTGAAACCATCTTCTGAGCCTACAAAGGCCATGGATGGACAGCACAGTCCCCCTGAGTGAGCATCTCAAGCTCCTGTCCCAGGAGGGCGCGCACAGCTCCTGAGCGTAGTTCTGGTTCTGCCCCTGCATTGTTTCTAGCCCGGTTGTGTTGCTCAATTTTTCTTTGTCCCAGTTTTCCTGTTTGCTAAATTGGCTCATTGACCCTTGTCTTCCACATCCCAAGGATAATTTCAACAGCCTGTCTTCTAGGAAGAGCAGCACTGTAAAATTGCACAAGGTGCTGAAAGGCAGGGGCCAGGTATGCGTGAGACACGCCCCCCCCCCTTGCATCCTTTGTTTCAGCAGAGGCACCTCACAGCTTTGTGGCTGAGGTGTTGTGTAACATGGGTCCCGACGTGTGGCTGGAAGTAGGAAATGTCAACAAGGGGCAAACCCAGCTCTGAACACAGCAAGTTGGGTAGGAGTGTATGAGAAAGTCCGGTGTCCTATAGTAGTTGATTTTCCTAAATTTAAGTTTCTAATCTGGCCTCTAGCCCGGATTTATCTTACTGTACGATCAACTGGCTTTCTTTGGGTTTACTTTCAAGAAGATCAAAAAGGGAAGTCAATGATTAATTTTTAAAGTCTTCCTGGTACCTTTTCAGGTCAAGGGTTGTCTCTGTCTTGTAGGTGGACACGGGTCCCTAGAGGCTTCAGGGTAACGGAGTGTACAGTCCTGGCTTCCCCGGGCTTGGAGATGGCTCCGGTCTTAGCGTATAAGCCGCCCAGAGAGTGGACCTGCGAGGCCAGGAAGAAGCCTTTGCACGGAGTGGGCTCCCCCACGAGGCACAGTGGCCTGGGCTGGGGTTGACGTTTCCCCTTGTGCCGCGGCTGAGGCCCAGCCCCCCTCCTTCCTGCTAGGAGAGGGAGCACCCTGATGCCCCTGCAGTGCCCTTGGCACCTCTTGCCCTGGCTGGTGCTGCAGTTTAAAGCGGTGCCCACATCTGTGTTGTGGTCATTCCTACTGTAGATAATATGAGCTGCACCTAGAAGTATTGATTTAAAACTAAAACTCTGACCTGGGCGTGGTGGCGCACGCCTGTAATCCCAGCACTCAGGCGGCTGAGGCAGGAGGATCATGGCGAGTTTGAGACCAGCCTGGGCTACAAAATGAGCTCAAGGCCAGCCTGAACTGCACAGCGAGACCCTGTCTCAAAAAGACAAGAAAACCCACACAAGTAAAACAAGCTCATGCGGGGTGGGGGTGGGGGCTGCATTCTGACATGGTGCTGGCCGTGGTCTGTTGAAGCCCCCGCGTGTGTGGATCTGCTGGAGCTCTGGTCTCCCTGTCCCTGATGCCCCGAAGAGACTGGCTGGCATTCAGAGTTAACATCTTGTTGTTTGGAGGCCACTTTAACTTGCTGGGTAGATTTGGTGTGTGTGAGTGCTTGCGGACAGTCAAGCCGCTTTCTAAAACTTTGCTGCTAAGTTTTGACGAACTTCCTGGGTGTTTGCCCAATACCGGATTTTGTTCCCTAGTGGAGATTCGGTTGTGCCTGCTGCCCTCCAGTGGTGACTTGTTTAATCTTAAGCTACAAAGCTTGTTTTTCTCTTGGCGGTTGGGAGTGTTGGTGATTTATAGTGGCTCAGTTTTCTACATTACTGATTCTGGATGTGGTTGTCCCAGCGCGCCAGAGCCCGCGCACTCCACTTGGAGAGCACAGAGAGCTCTAGTGCAGTTGGGTCCGCGCGATGACCCTTCTGTGATTAAGACAAAGAGCCGTCTTTCCCAGTGCCCTCTGCTGTCCCCAGGAGACCGGAGAGGTTTCGAGGCTGCACAACCTCGCCTTCGCAGTGCGTTGGGTGTCCAGCCCTGCGGCTTCTCACTGCAGCACTAAGAGGAGAAATGGGTTCGCGCTGTCCCCAGTGTTTATATGAGCGATGTTCACGTCAACGAGCCTGATCCGTACACTTCAGCTGTCTTACATAAATGTTTCTGTTTCTGCTTTAAGATAAAAATGATGATGGAGGAAAACTAAAGCATCTTACATCCTCAAGAGAGTGTAGTTATTGTGGGAAGTTTTTCCGTTCAAATTATTACCTCAATATTCATCTCAGAACGCATACAGGTAAAGGACTTCGTTTTTCATAGCATGTACTGGTTAAAGAATTATGTAGTTTCGCTGTCTCTGGTTCAGATTCTCCGCTAGGGCCTTGGGGAGCCGGGAGCAACGCCGCAGCCTGTGCAAGGCAGCTGTTGCTTTTCCTCCTGCCTAGCTGCTCCCGCCCGAAGCTGGTTTATGTAGTGTATGATTGCAGAACCCCGACTCTTCCCTTGCAAGCCCCTAGTGTTTCTAAACGTCTTGTCCTTAGTTTTTAAAGCTCGGACGTAAGAATATACTTCGTCTCCTTTAAATTGTAGCAGCAGCTGTAGAGGCAGAGGTTGAGGAGTTGCCTGGGTTTGAATTTCACCTCTTCAGCTGTGCAAGTTGGGGAAAAAGCTGTTCAACTTTTTGTGGCCCCATCTTTTTTTTTTTTAAGCTGGAAACGTGCGGTTAAAAACATTACCACTTGTCTTCTAGTAAAGATACGTATTCACTTTGTTTTTCCTTGTTTTTTGAGCCAGGGTCTGCCCTGTATAAGGCTGGCCTTGGGATCCTCCAACCTCAGCCTCCCAGGTGCTGGGATCGCAGGCGTGGGCCACCATATCCGCCTGCTACAGTATTTAGAGTATTCGCGTTTTTAAATTGTAGTAAGGACGAGCGATCCCGGCCCTAAAGAGGAGCAGCTAGGGAAGGGGGGGCAAGGAGGCGTGCTCGGCGTGCGCTGCTGTCTTGAGAGCTTTGTCTCTGGCCTCCGCGCACACGGGTGACTCTGCGCTTCTTGTTTTAGGGGAGAAGCCGTACAAATGTGAATTCTGTGACTACGCCGCGGCCCAGAAGACGTCCCTGCGGTATCACCTGGAGAGACACCACAAGGACAAGCAGGCGGACGCCGCGGCCGACGGCAGGGCCGAGGGGAAGGGCCGGGACAGCGAGGACGCGCCCTTCGCCGCCGACAGTGCGCAGCCCAGAACTCTGAAGCGAGCGTTCGACGGTGCCAAAGATGTGAAAGGCGGCCCCGCCGCCAAGCTGCCGAGGGAGGCGCCCCCCGCCTGCCAGGGCGCCC